AACAAGAAACAACTTTTCATCGTTATATGTTTCAAAATACAAACCCCCAAAGGGGTGAAAAAAGAAGAGAGAGTTGTCTACTATGTTTCACAACATTCCATTACTCTATTTTTAGATGGAAAATGGCTACCTTTCTCCATTTTCCATTACACCTATATTCCTCACTATTCTGCCATCTTTAAATTTCATGAGGAATTTGTTAAGCCATGAATGGATCAATCAGGCGAGAATTTATCGTTCAGAGCATCTATTGCCCTCCAATCATCATGAACATCGAGTCTGGCAATTACAATTATATTTTCTGAATCTAACTCTGCCACTTCAGTTTCTTTCTTGATCCAATAAGCTTGTTTCTCTTCCTATGTTTCAAAGTTTTTATCTTTGGAACTAACGGAGCAGTCTTCATATTTCTTTTTCTTAGCAATTGTTTCCCTTTCTTCTTATTGACTATTTCATCAAAAAACTAGCTATCCTCTTTCGTTGAACCCAGTAGGAACAGCAACACTCTTCCTCCAGAAATGGGCCAAGCAGCGCACTCCAAATATCAACCGGAATGGACTCGTTTTTTCTGAATACAGCAAGTAGCATGCTTCTTTCTTGTTTGAACAATCTTGAATAAAAAGGATACTACAAAACTCAACCACAGCCTGTTCAAACCACTTAAATTGGGACAAATAAAGAGGAAGTTGTATATTCCTCTCCATTTCTTCAACAATGAAGTAGCCATTCTCAAACCATATGCCAGCATGCTCGTTCTCCACACAACAACTGCTTAATTCCATTATCCAAAATGATAATAGGCATAACTAAAAACCCAGGAAGATCTTGATCACTTACTTGACTTGCAATTATCTTCAAAATTTGAATCTTTGAGACCTTACTTGAACTTATCCTTGAATCCGAACAATGGAAGAAGAACCTAGAAGGAGAGAAACCATGAACGTTTTCACTATCCAAGATACTTTTTTGCTTTTAAGACAAATTGGAAAGAAGAAAGGTGCTCCTCATGGCAGCCTATTTTCTACATAATTTCAAGTGAAAGACTTTTCTGCAAGCAATAATGAGTTGATCTTCTTGGCCTAGTTATTACAGAAGCTTTGGATCCCCATCTCTATCCCAGGCAGCTCTGCTGAAGAGTTCAATCACTTAGACAAAATCACCCAGCTTACCACCTCTGCATGATATTCAGCATAACATGGATAATCTCAAGACGAACACTTCCTAATCTTACACACTACTGAATCAGTCCTGCTGGGTGTGCAAAATAGCACGACCCAATTCAAGAATTATTCGATAAAAGTCAGTTTACAACCCAACCTTAGTCCTTCAATTACGCCTGCCCCACTCCTAGGAAAGATGATTCATGGTATGTGTGTCTACAAGCATCGAACTAATGTAGTATTAGTTGAAGTTGAACCTATTTTGGTTTGTCGATGAAGAGCTGTTATTCAGCTGAAAGCAGTTAGTTTTCCTTGTTCAGTTTAGTGTCTACTGTCTTAAGCTATTAGGATACAGCTACCAGTTAGCTGCCTACTTAATATATTGGTAGCCGAAGTTGGCAGCAGATAAATCAAATCACAGTAAAATTGAGAGAAGCAACCCTTTATCAGGTACTTAATTAGATTAACTAATGAATATGCTGCAAGTAACCAAAATGAAAATAAACAATAAA